TCATTTGTTCCAATTCTTAGTTTTCGTTTGTTACAGAAAATGTAAAACAAGGCACAACATTCGTATACCTCCACTGCTTGACGTTTCTCATTGAACACCCTGTACAATCACTCAATCACTACTCACCTGCATCATTTTCTACTGCTCATCGATGAAATCAAGCTGCATATAAGTACATACATTTACCGATTTAAATAACTATAATAGACAAATAAATAAAACTGGTTCATATACAATACAATTGCTGTTTCTCTCACCCAAACATACTATACAATGCAAATAAAAATTCACTCTGTTTTGTTATCATCTTGGATAGAAAACAATAGTAGATCATTCAAAGGAAATGTTTATTCAAACGAATTAACATAATTTTTCATTCAAGATTGAATAAAAAAATCGCTCTTCCTTTGATCACTCTTGAACGACCCATCAACAATCTAGTGATGGTAATTTTCCGGGGCTGGTTTTTTCCTTCACAATCTACATAGTTTTCTGTCTGCCCAAGATGAGTCATATAAAGAGTGTCCCAAAAATGGAAATGGTGAAACACCAGACGGAAAGAGCAATGTTTTTTCACGACTACATAAACTCAAGAAAAGATATTTTACAGCAACTAATTATAATAATGGCAATAAAACATCTGAAAGTCGTGGACGAGAAGTTATGTGAAGATGTTCCCGAAAGGCTTTGTACAAGAAAAAATATGTTTTAGAATAGCTTTCGTTTAATATCAGAATTAGGCCTTATTTGAAGCGTCATATCCCCCAAGTATGTTTTTTAAAAAAACAAAATCATTTGTTCGTTTATTCACCTTGTCATTTTAGTATGTCGCGTTATCTACCGATGAAAGATTCTAGGAAATATTTAATCATCTTCTTCTTTTCCCTACTATATAAAAAATGTTTTTTTGTTGCTTGTGATTTCATTTATCTTTGTTAGTCAATGTCTGTCTTTAGGCCGGCGTACCTCAGTGCTTCGATGCTTCAATATCGATTCACGTCGAGGTATCGATCGTGGGTTCGAGACCCACGAACGCAGACTTTTTCTGATGGCCTAAGAAAGTGTTTGGGATCACACGTTAAAAGGTAAGGCCCCCGTCATTCCTTGCTCGCACAAGTCTTTCGAAGACTTCTGAGGGTTGCTCGTAAGGGGGCAACCGAATGACGGATAGAACAATTTTAGAACAATTTTTTTTTAGGACAGAGGCTCATACCGTTAAATTTCTCATATAAAAGCCAGTGTACCAAAGCTTCCCCAAATGGTTTGGTAAAGTTGGGACACTTTTAACCCAGATATGCCCAGTGACCTATAAGTAGTACATATCAAACTTGCCCGAACTTGTCACGTTGCTTTCATCTGTGTTGTGAATTATGATTTTGTGTTTCGTTGAGTATGACTGAGTAGGGCGTCAACTTCGCAGGGTACGTTGTTTTTTGGTAGTTTACAAATGTGTAGATATAACTTAAAATTTTTGTTTGTCTTCATAAATGTTAGTCTGAATGAAACATGCATTTTTCCAAGTTTTTTTTTTTTTGTATATGAGTAACACAGTCGATGTCCCATATGTAGTACATTGGGAATATGAGATAGTATATATTTTTTATGTATTTCTTACAGGGGTTTTCTTTCTGCATGAGGCATTGGCGATGATAGAGAATGATGAAATGGATGATGACACCATAACGTTATTACTACCCATAAATGCAACTGGTGACGTTAACGATGATGATTCCGGAAAAGAGAACAACTTGAATATAAACAATGTACCTGCCTCGCTAATGCAAAGTGATGTAAAATTATCTTCGATATATGACTTGGACGACCAATTGGGACTCAGAAGATGACGTACCTCTATCCCAAATCAGAGAAAGCTTGCCTGTCAAAACGAAGCTGGTAAAAAAAAAGAAAACCACAGATGATATCATTTTCGAAGTACACCGTGATTTTATCGACATAGCTGATCATACTCCTACTTCTCTTTTTTTGTTCCTTCTTTGCTGATGAACTATTAGAGAAAATCACAGAAGTGACGACTCAATATGCCTCACAGAAGAACCGATCATCACAAGTGACTGTTACTGAAATGAAATCATTCATTGGAATACTTCTCCTTAGTGGATTCATTCCAGTCCCTAGAAGGAGAATGAATTGGGAACGTTCGAAAGATTCCAACAATGAACTAGTTTCTCAAGCCATATCAAGGAACAAATTTGAGTTCATCATATCCAATATCCATTGTCAGGATAACAACTTTCTAGATCAGTCAGATAAATTCGCCAAAGTCAGACCACTTTTCACGTATCTGAATGATAAGTTCATGAAACATGCTCACATTGAAGAAGAGCATAGCATTGATGAAGCAATGGTATACAGGACGGGTTGTAAACCGTTACATCCATGCCAAACCAATACGCTATGGTTTCAAGCTATGGGTAGGTACGACTCGACAAGGCTATATAAATTGGATCGAGCCCTACAAAGGAGCTTCCACGAATATTAGTGAAACATATAAGGACTTGGTGTAGGAACGTCTGAGATCCAATTGACAGGACCTGAGGTTCCATTTGTTCTTCGACAATTTCTTGTCCTCTGCCGTTCTGCTAACCTTTACGAAAAAAATATGTTCGGTACCGGAACTATGAGAAAATCGTATTCCTTCTAGTACCTCACGTGATTCAAAGAGCATGAGAAAATCTGAACGTGGTAGTGATTTTATGAAAAGCAAAGATAACAACATTATTTTCATAAAAATGAAATGACAATAATATTGTTACGTTTTGCTCGAATGCAAGTGGAGTGAATCTTCTAAGCTCAGTCAAACGATATTCCCAAAAGAAAAAGGCATTTATTCAAGTCGAGCAACCAGGTGTTGTGAAATTATACAATAGAAGTATGGAAAGAGTCGATCGTTCAGATCAAAATATACGTTTATATCGGATCGCTGTACGAGGGAAAAAATTGTACTCCTCCCTTAGTGGATATGGTGGTACATAATGCCTGGCAGATACATAAACATAATGGAGGAACAATGGACCAATTATCTTTCAGTAGAAGTATTTTTCAATACTTTACTCGAACAGAATTAAACACCGGTTTACAAAAAAGGACGCCTTTCTGCATGCAATGCCGAATTACTTTATGATCGGTTGGACCATTGAGTTATTGTCCAAGACAAACAAACGAGGTGTGGAGCTTGTCATCAGAAAACCACTACAAGATGTCAAAAATGTAACATAAGTTTGCATGTTAAAAGTTTTGTTTCATATCACACTAGATTAGTAAGATGATGTTGCCCATTGTCCTACATATAGGACACATCTTCAAAAACATGTTTTTTCAATAATATACTTCATTATACGAAAATTAAACCGCTTTTCATTCATCCTTTCATGCCAATTATGTGATTCGAAACTAGACATTTATTCAAATCAATTTTGGGCATATCTGGGTTAATGCCGGATATATCAACTAACAAAATGAATCAATGATGTTTTTGTACTACTACATACTTGGGGGAGTTGGTACATCGCCAATCAGAACTCACAACCCAGTTAATTTAGAAAAATTCAGATTCATTTGAGAAAAACATGAAAATCCGTACCAAAGTTCCCCAGTTTACGTTACGTTACTAAATCTATTCTTGGGACACCCTAATTATTCTTGTTCCATTATGATTACTTTTACAATAACAAATTCACGCTTGTTTTTCAAGGTTGGTTTTCAAGGTCATTATATGAAGTGGCGATGACGTTAAAATTGGGGGAAAACATTCCTAACTCTTGGAAAAGATTGAAGGTTAGACATGTTTTCCCCTAGTTTTATCGTCATCGCAACGTCAGATGATGACCTTGAAAACCGCGAATAGCGACTGAAACACATTTGATAATAGGATAGATGCCATGCAATCAAAATAATTAGTGACTGAAGGAAAACTATTGATAATCCATTTCGAAAAAATACACATGGTCAACCAAATTTATTGTGAGTAGAGATGTGACAAATGTAATTTTGAAATATTCAATTTGTCATAAATTGAATATTTCAACATTACATTTGAAACTTTACAATACATTTGAAACTTCCAGAAAATTTCAGTGAATCTTACATAATAGAGGCCCTTTCTTGAATAAAATCGATTTGTATTCTTGAAAATTGTGGCATAAACAACTGAAAAATGTTTCCTTGCATTTTTGGTCCCTATCTACTTACTTCCTCTATATATAAATATACTTGTCATTGCACTCCTATCAAATATCTGATTGGTAGAAGCATACACTCACCTCCCTACCAATATTTGGTATCAGAATTCGATTTAAAAAAATCACACGCCACACTTGAAACTCATTTACACAAAAACTCGCCCAATATTTCCAATTTCACGAGCTGGTCGTTGAAATTGGTATTGTATTTGTCAATAGAAGGCCTTTCTTGAACCTAACCGAATTTTAATCTTGAAAATTGTGACATAAACAACTGAAAAAGAATCCCTGCATTTTTGGTTCCTATCTAAATCACGAGCGACTCCCGACACAACCATTTTGGCACATCCAAGGTCAAATATTGTACTACATTAAGCTAAATATTGGCGCCAATTTTTGGAATGAACTTCGTAATACCGGTGGTAATACTTACCTCGTAAATGTTTTGGTACGAGATAAAAATGACTCTTTAATAAAGGTATAGATAGATAGACATCGGACTATTAATTCTAGTACAATTAAAAAATGTAATAAGTTTCAGGCATATAAATGTGTAATACATCAATATACTATCGATATCTAGAACAATATCTGTTAAGAATAGGTTATGAAGAAATCCTAAAAATCAGTTTTATTTAAAACACTACCGATTATATCTTTTTGCTCAAGAATGCTTGGTTTTTTGGAAATTAAAGCATATTTGGCTCTTTTCTTCTCAGTAGAAAATAGACGTACTTGCTTGTCTGTTTTCTTATTAGTATTAATGGTTTGCTTTATTTCAAAATTAATAGTTTTTCCTTTAGTCATTGTGTCTATAATTTTATCGCAATTATTCAAAATATATCGATGTTGTTCTTAGGATAGGGACATTGATGCATCACACATACCTATTATTAATTCACACCTCCTTTTCATATCCTCTATTTCAAATATAAAATAATAAAATATCAACTCAATTGAAGAATATAACTTCTACCCCAGCAAACATTGAACTAGCTAGTGTAGGCTAGTCTGGGAAAGTGACGATGCCGGGATATTGGTAATGGGCCGATGATTTCCCTATGCCAAGTAACCATCAGTAAAAAATAGGATGATGGCCTTGTGATGGTAAGATGTTTAGAACTAATTGAATACTAACGAGATCTGGCCCTTTGCTGGCCAATTTCATGTTCGCTACTCATCCCCCTGGTGAATGTTCTGGGAACGTCTCCATCAACAATCAGCTGATCAATATTATATGTGACTAAGATGGCTGACTCTCGTGAGTGGTGATCGCGTACTAGTTTGTTTATGTCGTATTAATGTGGTCCTCTCTCTCCCTGGTGGTTATTTATGATGACAGGAGTATTCTCAATTAATAATAATAGAAGGATTCTTCAATTATGATTATATTGAGTATCAATATACCTATCTCGTTACCTCATATACCTAATGGTCATAATAATTGGAGTTGGCTATACCTTTCCAGAAGCAACTATCATGTTTAACTCGTTTGTTGCTATCAAAAGCAATCTTATGTTAAGTGAACCTGTCTCTATATTAAAGTACTGAATAACAATGTGGTTTCAGCTACAGAAAACACCTTTGCCAAGAAAATAATGAGAATTGGAAAGCTTCATGTTATCACGACATCAGATTATATTATCAAGTTATAAACTGATGCAACTCATAGGCCACTAATATATAACTAATGATGCATAGTGTATGTAAGAAGTTTCTCATAACGAAATGCTACCCAATAAGATGTAGATACCACATACCAACCAGTAAGCAGTCACTCCGAGAAGTTTCATCATTGAAGAACAGAGAGGTTAAGAAGATATCATTGTGTCATTTATAAAATTGTTTTCTTGAAATCTGGTCTGATGAGAGGGTTATATTGTGAAATAAAGAGGTACTAGAACTTTCAGATCCATTGGACCACTAAAACCCCTACCCCTTCCCTACCTCTATAGTATGTAACCAATGTCGTTAATTGGCCACTACAGTCCCATCATTTATGTATATGCTGGGCTTGCTATGGGAAACTAAATGTGTCGATTATGTTGTACTGGATTTTTGCCGGGGAACTGAATGTGATGACTGAATGACTGGGACTAGCTGCCGGCCGCAGTGTACTGATATATAGAGTCCCGCATATGGGACCATTTACTGGGCCGCTGATGTCAGGTATGGGAAAAATATATTAGACCAATGATGCCCCATATCAAAATGTTTGCTGGGACGACTTCTACGCGCTAATCGAATCCTCTATTCAAAAAAATCTAAATTGTTTGCACCACTTGATATAATTGACATAATGACAAATCATATTTGACCTTGAATGTGACAAGATGGTTGTGTCATGAGACGCTCGTTCTAGATCCTCCATATAAAAACACATTTGTCATTGCACTCGTATCAAATATGTGATTGGTAGAAGCATGCACCCACCTCCCTACCAATATTTGGTATCAGAATTCGATTTAAAAAAATCACACCCACACGCCACACTTGAACCTCATTTACACAAAAACTCGTCCAATATTTCAGATTTCACGTGCCGGTTGTTGCCGGCCGAGAAGGCCCCGTTTCCCATCCGCAAGATGTAAGGGATGACGCTGTCTATTTGCACTTGGCCAATAAGGCCGGCGAAAAACAGCTCTTCCAGTATGCTCGAGTCTATCGCCCTCAGAGGCGGCAGGCGCAGCAACAACCTGAAGAAAATAAAAGACATGGTGATCACAGAACGAATAAATCTGTATAATTTATAGCTAAACTGGTCAACATTGATAACGTCGTGGTCCGACATATAGCCTGAATTCATAGTAGAATAGCTCACGAATTTCCTTACCAATTTGAAATCGGTTCTTGACCGTTTATTGTGGCAATATGAAAATTCTGTCATTTCAGATAACATTGCTACAGGGTGATGATTGAATGGGTGGAAAATTGCATCGTGGTCGTCACCTTACCGTTTGAACAGATAATTTTTTTTATTTTTTTTTCATCACCTGTATCCTCTTTATTGATGCTTTCTCTCGAAACATTTTCGGAATTTTCAAATTCTGAGCTTTGATAATCGTGTTATGAATATTCATTTAAAATTGTGCATTTTTTCGACGATTTATTGAATGAAATTGGAAGCTGGAATTCTTTTTCGAAGAATCAACGTTGTATGTATAGTCGTCGGATAACACCAAAAATTCTGAAGACGTCTATACAAAGTGATACAAGAAATACTGATTGATGGAATGGAGAATAACGTAGTCTTCAGTTGATGAAACACAATTTTCTGTGTTTATTACTGAAATAATTGAGTGTTACTTCGTCATGAGGATGTCTGGTGTCTGACCTCGAAAGGATTTTGTAATTTCTCGGATCGAAGGTCATATAATGATGGTACGCATTTTTAATCAAAATGATGCATTTTCGTTGAGATAAATTATTAAAATCAAAAAAATTATATTATATATTTATACATTTCACAATCTTCGACAATGACCGACACTATATTTCTTTTTTGGAACATAGCGATTTTCATCACGTTCATACATATTCTTCTTCATCCCGGGACAATCTGGACATATTTTTTATCGCACCTTGTATATCCAACGTCAAGAATAAATATAAATTTCATACTTCTGGAACTACAACCGTAATTTTTTTAATTTTATAATTCATCTCAAAGAAAATGCATTATTTTGAATAATAATGCGTACTTTCATTATATGACCTTCGATCCGAGAAATTACAAAACCATTTCGAGGTCAGACACCAGACATCCTCATGACGAAGTAACACTCCATTATTTCACTAGTAAACACAGAGAAAATTGTGTTTAATGATGTTGTTCGTTATTGAAGAATTCTAACAATCAACTGTCAGGCGAGTTGAGCAGGAAACAAGGTGGTGTTAAGGCCAAACTTACTATTTTCAGTGAGTAGCTATTACTGAGGTTTATTCAATGATGTGATATTTTGTGAGTGTGAGAAAAAAATATAATTTTCTGGTGTCCATAATTTGAGTTTCTAGAAACAGCTGATCGGAGTCGTACCGTCGATCTTTTGAATAAATCAGTTTGAGAAATCATTTCTGGCTTAAGTATTTCTAAAAGATGGATGTATGTTTTTGCATCAGCTCCCCATCATATTATTTCATAGCAAAGATGGCTTACCAGCAGTTCGTGATACTGGAGACTTTTCCTAAAATATATCGTGCGCCCTTCCTTTTTCCAAAAACAAGGATAATTTTTGTAATCATCTTTCAATTTTGAAAAATTTGGCTACCTGAATTTTTTTCGCCCGACGCACCGTTTTCACGTAATTAAATAAAAACCATTTTAATGCATTTGTGGTATAACGAAATTATTTTGAACTAGTAGGGTGGTGCCCTATTTTGTATTCAAAATTATGACATTTGATCGATAACTTTGCGGTCTTATTTTGATACTAAGTATTCCTTAAAGTGACAGTTGTTTATTTGAGCTAAGGAACCATATCCTATATTTTCAGCCATCTATTAAATTACACCGTATATGAGAAAAATGCAATATACCATACAATACAATACGATGCAATAAAATTGGTAACAAAAAAGTAAAAATAACAATAATAATAACGAAACATAAAGTAAGAAACAAACAATTAAATAGAATAGAATCAGACATGAGCATGACATGAGATATCATGAGATAACTGTTACAATATATTTGAAAATTCAAAACTTCAGCTCAAATGAAATGCAGTTCTTACACCATTCCCTAACAGTCTATATTATTTATCGAAAAATATTGAATCACGCCCAAGTTGTAATAAAAACTCAGAGATACTCTAGACTGAAAATTTGCCCGGAAGAATTGTTATTCTTCAAGTGGAAAAACTTTTTACTTCATTTTCAATAAATTGTTTTATGTATACCTGTCATGTAATATAAAAAAATATATAGAAGAAATTCAAAAATTTCAATGTCACAAGAAAAACACAGAGGAATGATGGTATATTATATACCAGGTTCATTTGGGACAACAACAAAATTAAGATAATTCATCACCCTTGCTTGAACTTGAAGCTTTTTTGGTATACAAAACATACTATCATTGCCTGGCGATAATAAAAAAAATTGAAACAACACATACATATTTAAAACTAATCTTGAGCATGAGCATGCATAAGGCAACATTTCAAAAACCCTAAGATCAAACTTTTGATGCCAGATAGGATGGTGCTATAGTGGTTGATAAAACCCATGAAAAAACAAGCCGAGGTTATACTCAGAAATGATGGAAATATATATATATATATTGTTTTGTGTCCTGAGGTTTGGTGGGGTACCACCCATATCATATCTTCTTAGTACTCATGAATATTGAGATCTCAACAGGCAAAATGAACTAGATATGGAAGAATGCATAGATCTCTTAGCAATTCATTTCATCACTACAGGAGCTGCAACACAATAAATAAACAAGGAAAAAATTAAAAACGCATGCAAACAATCAAAAGTTAGTTGTATTAAGGAACACTGGTAGCTCTTCATATCAAGAATTCCAAGAGAGGGGATTGTCGCGCGAAATATTCACTTTATGGTAGGATTAGACATCAAGGCAACTAAATGCATCAATTAGAAGCAGTAATTATCAAATTCGCATGGAAACTACTGGATAGTGGACCTTCATAACACATGGTAGCTATAGCTACATCTGCCACTTAACGGGTTAAAAGTAAATCTGAATTCGAAAATTACCGAAAATCATTTTGCTACACAGAATTTCGAGAATGTATGAAGCATAAGCGGACTCACTTGGGGAACCTGTCATTATCATCGGGATAGCTGCCGGTTACGTAGTTCCTCAGCCCCTGGAAGGACTTCTCCTGCAACTTCTCCATCGTCTTCCTCAGGAGAATGTCCGGCTGGTCCGAGGAGAACAGAGTGATCGCCTTCAAGTACGCGTACTCCTGGTCGTTCACCTGCAACAGGGCGCATTTGGAATTTCGTTAGGGAAAGGGAATAGAGAAGTTTACAATATTGAGGTTTTCATCCCACTGTGAGGTTTGTAAAAATTTAAAATATACGTATTTTTTCCTTTTTTCGTAAGATGAAATTTCACTTTAGAAAAAAATAAATGAAACGCCACAAAATACAATTCCCTGTGTCAGTACGACATTGCCGGCATCTAGAATGTCTAGAATTCCTGAATAGTATATTATTACCACGATGCCCTGGAAGTGGTTCGGATTCCACTATAAGCTGTAGGTCCCGCTCTTCCTAACCCCGCACAAGTTTCGACTTCTGGGGAGTTTAACAAATTTTACAAATTTTTTTTACAAAATATGAGTTTTATGATACACTATCTTGTCGCACGCGTTGCTCCAAAAAAACTAGTGTGACAATATCTCTTATAAAACGTGTAAAATATACTATATTTTCTATTTTGCATTCATTTGTACTATTTTATTTTAAAAACAATCATCAATAAAAACATCAAATATTATAATGATATGAAGTATAGTTTGAGACAATGAAAAAACATTTGAATGTTTATTCCTAAATTTGACAGATGATAGAAAAATTGTTCAAATTGACATCATTATTCCAGTGATATAATTTGAAATTGTTGACCTATCAAAATTCTGAATTACCTATTTTGAGAATGACTGAAGAGGCAAACTCAAGCTGTACCCCTCCTGGACTGAGGAAATTTGCCGAAACGGCTATAAATGATTTGTTGCCCAAGAAACCTCGTCCAGCTTATGAAAAAGAATTCCACAATTTCCAAGTATAGTGTCAAACTGGCGACCTATACCACCACAATATGCAAATGTAAACGCTTCTTGTTGACCTATACCTATACATATTTTTTCGGAGGTGGTCAAAATCCTTCATGGACACCATGAAGGTCCATGCCCTTCATGGTAGTGTGAGAATCCCTACATGTAGGTGAACCCCACTAAACACTCCACCTCCTTTTAAGGCTCATCTGACTGAAGTCTCCGATGGTACTTAGGCCTGTTGGCCCACTGTATCATTGTACCCCGAATATGCCGTTATTGATTTTACCATATACGACCCATGGTTCTTATATAAAGGCAACTTTGAATGCCGCCACAGTAACTATGAGCACTGCTGCTCACAGTAAAGGTTATGCAAAGTCAGTTGGAAAAACACATCACCGCAAGCCGTCGTCCCTTTACCAGAGGTTCGTTTGAAAGACCCTTTTCATTCAGGTTCCTGAAGACTTCTCTTCCGACCCCTGGTCTCCTCCATGAAGAAGGCAAAAACTGTTCCTTCTCCTACGAGTAATAGGGAAAGGGGCTGAGGCTCTGAGATGCCGCCCTGTTTGGTTTAGGTTGCCAGAGCCTCGTTATTAATCCGCGGCAACATAAGCAGATGTCCACAAAACGGTTCCATCTGAGTGATAAGTGCAAAGATGTTCCCAAAATGCTCAATCTGTCGAGCAGCCGCGGCTTGTCCTCCCCACACTATGGGTGAGGTTGGGCTACAGGGGAGAAGGAAAAAAAAGAATTGACCAAGTGGCCAGCGTAACCTCTTGGTTAAAGCGTCAATATTCTATCGACGTTGGATTGCCGGTAGGTGGGTTCGATTCCCACCACGACCGCAGACATTTTTCTGATGGCCTGAGAATGTGTTTGGGATCACACGTCAAAAGGTAAGTCCCCCGTCACTCCTTGCTCGTACAAGTCTCTTGAAGACTTCTGAGGGTTACTCGTAAGGGGGCAACCGAATGATAGATAAGAACAATTTTAGAACAATTTAGAAAGGTCTATGAAGAAGAAGAGTGAAGAGGATACCACCAAAATTGGAGATTAATGAGTATCCGGCTAGGGTTACTGCATAAATAGAGTGACCACAAAGTATTGCTGAATATCTTAAATTACCAAGTTCTGAGATTTTTACAGGACATTGTTTTCGGCGTTTTAGTGTTTCCCATTCAGCAAATAGAAGCGGTGAAATCCCCAGCAGTTGCTGAAGGTTGCATATTTATAAGCTTCTGTGAAGAGACAAATTGAGGTAGGTAGCTCAAATGTTTTCTTCTCACCCTTAAACTTGTAAAAACAGAAAATTATTTAATCTTTTGTAGGGTTCGAGAATATTATAGAATTCCCTAGACCTAAAATATTTAAAATGTTCTAGTATTTAGTAGAAATCTCCAGAGGGGTTGAGAATTTTTCAGGAACTTCGAGAATGCGAATGGTTTAGGATGTTATAGAATCTTCCAGAGTGCCCCAAAATATTCTAGATTGTTGAAGAATGTTATCTAATCTTAAAGAAGATGAATTACTCTAGAATAATTTAGAATGTCTTATAATGTTGTATAATTTTCCAGAATACTATTGAATCTTCGAGAAGATCAAAGCAATTTCCATGAATTTTTGGTTGGAGGTCGAATGCCGTCGAAGTGAAATTGAGGTTTTTCGACAGGTATGATTTTATAGATAAAAAACAATGGATTTGAAACATTTCCATTAATTATAAAAATCGAGATACATATTGCCGCAACTGATTCGGCCGGGACGTTATACTTGTAATAGAATATTCAAGAATGTTCCAGGAAGTTTGTCAATTTTCTAAAATGTTGGGGTATGTTGTATAATCTTCCAGAATATTAGAAAAACTTTCAAAAGGTTCGAGAATATTCCAGAAATTTTCCCGGAGGTATTGCAATATTCTAATATGTCCGAGAATGCTCTAGAATTTTTTATGTTCTAGAATGTTGTATAATCTTACGCAATGTTATAAAATCTTCTGGAATGTTCCATCATGTTATAGAACCTCCCAGAAGATTTGAGAATGTTTCAGAATGTTATAGAATCTTTCAGAATGATAATATTCTGAAATGTTATAGAATTTTCCAGAATGATATAGAATTTTCTAGAAGATTAGAGAATGTTATAGAATATTGTAGCCTTCGGAATTGTTGAAGAAGAAATGTTCTAGAATTCAGTAGAATTTTCCAGAATGTGGTGAACTACTCCCGATGGTTCGAGGATGTTCCAGAATGTTATAGAATTTTCCAAAGGCATCAAGAAGTTGATATAAATCAAGTTGTCTTTTCGAAAAAAAACTTCAAATCCATTTTCAAAATCCTCATCCCATTCCGTCCTCTATACGTTCCCCTCACCTGCAAACCGTTCATCCCGGTCACGAAGTCCTGCAGCTTGACGATGTGGTCGGTGATCTGCTTCACCTTCGCCGCCGTCATCTTCTCCTGCGCTATGGCGGCGTGCAAATGGCCGATCAGCGCCGACAAGATGGTGGACAGCGACAGCGACTGCGAACACTGCGCAAGCCCGAGCGCGAACAGCTCCGACCAGCAGCTGCGCAGCAACGCCACCTGGGTCTCGGAGCTGCAAAAGGAATAGCTGCCTCAGACCGAACAACAATAATGGACACCGCGATTCATTTATGAATCATTGAAAAGTATACGCCAACAGTCCAAAACGCCAAATATGGATAAATGAATGAAATCGCGAATGTTGGGGATAATAACACACATATTTGTAGGTGAGTGCTCAAACTGGATCATATTCGATAAACACCGCAAATTCATTCATAAATCATTGAGAAGTATACGCCAACAATCCTGAAGGCCAAACAGAAAAAATAAATGGAATTGCTAATGGTGGGGATTCGTCTTCTTAACGTCAGTTGAATGACCAAGGTAATGTCAGTTGAATGACCAAGGTGACTTCAGGAGTTTACGTGGTATGACGTGATAAATGACATGAATGTCACAGCATATAATGACGTCATAGTACTCACGTTTATCGACGTCAGTCAATCTCCTATCGGTGACGTAGAAATGACGTCAAATGATATCAACATGACGTTCAAATTCGGTGATAAAACGTGAGTTTTCTCTAACACAGTGTGATGACCACCACTGACCTCTGGTGACATCTGATATTGATTATGCATTGTTGAGACTGCTTGGTTATACAGGGTGTTATAATTGGAATAACAAAGTCGTGTCGACTTCTCGATAGATGCTGGAACGCAGCAGCGCTCAAGATATTTTTAGATTGATTGAGCAGAACAAATTACACAAGGAATTGAATTTTCAAAATATTCCCATGTTCCGTTCTCCAGAAACGTTGAATATTCCATCGAGTTTTGAGACTGTATATACAAGTGGGGTAGGAAGGAGGGGAAGTTATCAATTGTATACAATATACAAATGATAATATGTGTACCTATTGGAAACGTCAGTTTCATGAGGTATCTATGACGTCTAAAAATCACGTCGGTGTGCCGTACCAATTTGGCGAGCTTCGTTATTCAGAAATTTGTCAAACAATTTCTATTTAGAATTTTGTTGGGTGACAAAGAATGCATGAATATACGTTACTCAACAAAGTGAAGATAAATTCGCCAACATTGCTATCAAACTATTCTTGGTTTGCTTACATTTCACCTACACAAATCACATAACTTTTTGTACTACGAGTAACTGATCTCATTCTGATGGAGATTGATACTAAAGGATAGAGCTGATGCTGAATAGACGACTGAATGGACATGACACCGCAAGGACCATATTATTGCGTTTTCAGATACTTCCCGAAGAGCGGATTCCATCGGATATAGGGTATGCAAAATCAAGATTTTTTAACTTTAGGAATGTTTCCTGTTGAAACTATTCATTATTGGTTTAAACGGCTCTCATCTCAACTTTTTATTCACCATCAATAATTGATATTTAATTTTAACCGGTACAAGGTGATCAAAATATTGAATTATAAACCACCCTGTATTTGTTTCAATTAAATGTCAGTAGATAGTGAATCAAAAGTTGAGATAGGAAGCCGTGTTTACCAATAATAAGTTTCGGACACATAAAATTACCAAATTTGAAATATTTAGTTTTTTTACACACTAGAATACAGGGTTTGTCCGAAGCGCTGAAAATATTTCAGATCAATAGAACATAACTGATTACCCAATAAACCAAAATTCCCATCCTATGTCCCGTTCTCCAGAGACGTTTAATAGGCCATCGAGTTTGGGACACCCTGTAAATATATTATATACACACATACCGAACTAAGAGTAACATGACGTTGATACGACGTCCCTACAACGTCATGAAACTAACGTCATATTTTACCCATCAAAGTGACGTTTACTCAACGTCGTAATGATGACGTGATTATCACGTCATAGTGACATCAGAAATGAGTGTGTGACGTCTCTGACGAGAAATAACCAATGGGGTTTGTCACAGTGACGTGACCATTCGTCATCTGGCCAACAATCCTAAAGACCAAACAGGAAAAATGAATGAAATCGCGAATGGTGGGGAAAACTCTGTGGAATCATTGCCAGAGAATAGACATTATAATCAATAAATCAAAATTTTCAGATCAATAGAACAGAACTGATTACCCAAGAAACCAAAATTCCAAAACGATCCTATGTCCCATTCTCCATAAACGTTTGATAGGCCATCGAGTTTGGGACACCCCGTATTTATATTATATACACACATACCGAACTATAGAAAAACATGACGTTGATACAACGTCATGAAACTGACGTCATATTTTACCCATCCAAGTGGCGTTTACTCATCGTCGTAATGATGACGTGATCATCACGTCATAGTGACGTCAGAAATGAGTGTGTGACGTCTCTGAAGAGAACTCACCAATGGGGTTGTCACAGTGACATGACCTGGGAATCGATAGACACCGCGATTCATTCATAAATCATTGAAAAGTATACATGCCAACAATTCTAAAGGCCAAACAGGAAAAATGAAAGAAATCGCGAGTGGTGGGGATAACTCGGCTGAATCATTGCCAGAGAATAGACATTATTATCAATAAATCGAAATTTCTATAAATGTGTATGTGCATTGATAAATTACGCCGCCGTCATCTTCTCCTGCGCTATGGCGGCGTGCAAATGGCCGATCAGCGCCGACAAGATGGTGGACAGTGACAGCGAGCACTGCGCAAGCCCGGGGGCGAACAGCTCAGACAATCAGCTGCGCAGCAACGTAACCTGGGTCTCGGAGCTGCGAAGAAAATAGGTTCCTCACACCGAATAACAATCGAGAGACATAGTGATAGATAAATAAATCATTGAAAAGTATACGCCAACAATCCTTAAGGCCAAACACAGGTTAATGAATGAAATCGCGAATGGTGGGGATAAGTATACTGCACAAGAGGACTTGAAAAGGATTTCAGATACTTAGGTTTTGGCAGTAGCGGCATTGGGCAACTGCCCAGGGCGCCGGATGAAAAGGGGCACGGCAGACACCCCCATAAATTCTCCGAATTTTTCAAATAATTGTCATTAGCACATCTCACAATCAAAGGATATAGATCTCAGTAAATGCACAGAAATGTTGAAAGAACGCTGCACTGTCTCCTAAGAATATATAAATGCTAACTCTAAAATCGCCATTTTAACTGCAGAGGAATTGGCTAGAGAACTAGAAATTAAACCTAAGCCTGGACCTAAGCTTAGTGCCACATCAAAAATTCAATTTGTTGAGCATCAAGCTGCTGAACCTGCCTGCGACGTGCCTATAACTTCTACAGAAAAAAGTTTAGGTCTGATTATTCATTAATTTAATGAAATTTTTGAAGTTAAATGAGTACCACAAATCTTTGTACAGTATGAAACAGATTTCGAAAAAAAACGACCTTTGACAAGGTATAATATGTTGTGTGATGAACTCACCTAATCAGAATTTGGTTACCACTGTATATGTTTTGAATTTCATCAAAGATCGGAACTGAAAAGAACTTATCCAAATGTATGAATAGCATTGCGAATAATATTGACTATACAGGGTGTTTCATGAGAAGACTCACATAGCTAAATGGTGAATAGTGGAAATCAAGACGAGTTGATGTATATATATGAAAACATTTTTTGACCCTCCATAACGAAGATACAGGGTATCATGTGAAATTGCTATCTAACTTTGATGGTCGATATTACAGAAATGATTCGTCGTAATCTGCTGAAATTTGGCAGCGACGTATATCTACTGAAACTATTCAAGATAACATATTATGAAGAAAAGTATCCAGGTCCGGACTTGGGAAAATTTTATGTTTCATTGTTATGTCAAAAAGTTCACTTTTTGACCACTTTTCTCGAAAAATTCCATCAGATTCAGAAAGATCAGATAAAATGCTATAAGAACTGCTCTTCAATTTACACGGCACACTTCGACCGGTTCAATAAAAAAATATGGAACAAAAACGTTGGAATGAATTTTCAATTTCGACCTGGCCGATAACTCTCAACTTTTAACTAAATTCGTGTGGTTTGATTTTTTTGCACATTTTTATTGGATAGAAATTGACAGAACAGATCAGTTCTGATTTTTTCATGATTTGACATGTTAGTTTTTGAACGAACTTCTAGGTAGATATGATTACTCGTGACTCTATTTTATAAATTTATTATAAAGTGGGCCCTGTTTTTACTTTATGTAACGTGGTGTTTGTTGATAGGTAAACACTGGTAATCAAAATATTCTCACACTCTAGGTGCCATTTCATATTCCAAATGCTGAACAGGACGAAAATCCAAATGCTCTGCTATGTTTAATACCATAGAATATTTCCAGACCCAAGAATACGTTGCAGTAAAACCTTCACGAGAATGAAAATTAGGAATTTTGAATAAATAGCAAATGCATCCTTATATCACTTGTAGAAGTGTATCAATAACAAAAAATGGAACTAAGTTTATGCGTGATGACATAACTAATTTGATGAATCACCATAATATGGGCACATGAATCCTCATGTCGTAATTTCATCAGTTGGTACCTACCTAGTACTAGCCTAGTACCTACCTATCAGTTCGGATTATCAACAAACCACGTCTCGTCACACAAATGAAAAACAGGACCTACTAGATTTCAAGCTATACCCATAAAACATATTCAAGAATAATAAAATCTATCTGAAATTTCGATAAAAAATATCGTGTTTTCTCTTCTCGTCTATCTTTCTGTTAATTACTATTCATCAAAAATCTAGAAAAAATCAATTCACATGATACCAGTTGAAAGTAGACAGTTATCAGCCAGGTCGAAATTCAAAGTTCATTCGAACGATTTTGTTCCATATTTTTTTATTGAACCTGTCAAAGTGTGCCGTGTGAATTGAAGAGCAGTTCACATAGAATTTTGTCTGATCTTCCTGAATCTGATGGAATTTTTCGAGAAAAGTGATCACAAAGTGAAATTTTTTGACATACCAATGAAACATAAAATTTTCCCAAGTCCGGACCTGGATATTATTTTTCATAATATGTTATATTGAATAGTTTCAGTAGAGATACGTCGCTGCTAAATTTCAGCAGATTGTGACGAATCATTTCTGTAATATCGACCATCAAAGTTATACAGCAATTTCACATAATACCCTGTATCTTCGTTATGGAGGGTCAAAAAATGTTTTCATATATATACATCAACTCGTGTTGATTTCCCCTATTAACCATTTGGCTATGTGAGTCTTCTCATGAAATACCCTGTATATACCTGTAACGGTTGCTAGTGGGGAGATGAGGTTTTGTGAGCCTAAGCTGATAAAAACCTATCTGTGATCGACAATATCTCTATCTAGATTGACAAACTTGGCAACTTTGTCAATCGAAAATATTGACTTTGTTAACCTAATAAAAGAGTTTGCCAATACAAAGGCTAGAAAAGTGAAATATATTAGTTATTAGGGGGCGCCGTAGCCCAGGGCACTGGTACTGCTAAAACCGGCACACCAGCACGGGGTTTTGGAAACATATATCAGTCTGAGACCGAGGGGCAAACGGCTCCGATCAGCAGCCGGAAATTCTATGAGATACGGAAGATATCTCGATGAAAGCCATTCTCAATTGGGTGCCAGAAAATTGATATTTTTCCATCTCAGTCGGTATCCTATTGGGAAGCTAATTATTATTTCTATAACAACTTGATACTTTTGTTACTAGGTTGCTCTGAAGGCTATATCATATTTCTCCCCAATTGAGATTTACTTTGTAGCATATACTAGATTTTTCATTGTGAATTGATTACAGCTGGCCTAGTGCAACTCAGGAGGCTTAATAAGCCAAAACAGTCTCTGTCTTGCATCAGCTGACAATCAATTAACAGAATTCCTATAGAATCTCTTAGTCCTCAGATCCTAGTTTTGAAAATTTTCAGTTTTATTTTCTATGAACAGTAGTTTTCCAACAACAGCTTCATGTATCGTTGACCAAATATAATTTAGAAATGGTAATACAAAAAAAAATCTTCAAAATCTTCCTGCATTGGAGGTAAGATCTGAGATTATTGAGAATGCCAATCTTCATATTTCTACCTTCTCATTTTTGGTGCCTTCCCATCTCATTTTCTCTCTTTTTCTCTCTCCCTCTCTCATTCTCTCCCCCTCTCTCTCTCTCTCTCATCATCTCTTACTCTCTCTCATCCTCTATTTCTCTCTTTCTCAATCTCCATCTCATTATATCTCTCTCTCTCCCTCATTCTCTCTCTCCCTCATTATCTTTCTCTCTCAGCATCTCTCTCTCTCATTCTCTCCCTCTCTCTCATAATCTCTCTCTCTCCCCCATTTTCTCTCTCTCATTCTCTCCCTCTCTCTCATAAACTCTCTCTCTCCCCCATTTTCTCTCTCATTCTCTCTCACTCTATCTCATTATCTCTCTCACTCATTCTCTCTCTCTCTCTCATTCTAGCTCCCTCTCATTCTCTCTCTCATTCTCCCTCTCCCTCATTCTCTCTCCCCCTCTCCCATTCTCTCTCCCTCTCTCTTTCATTCTTCCCCTCTCTCATTCCCCTCCCCCCTCTCTCTCATTATCTCTCTCTCTCTCTCTCTCTCTCTCTCTCTCACACTCTCCATCATTCTCTCTTTCTCCCATTCTCTTTATTTCCTAATATTTCTCTTTCTTTTTACCATGTCTTTCTCTTTCTTTTCAACATGTCTTTCTCTCTCTTTATCTACCATATCTATCTCTCTCTCACTTTATCAAATATATCTCTCTCCTCTTGCCCTACCATATCTATCATTCACTTTCACATTTCTTCAATTATCACTGTTCTTCTCTTCATTGAAACAACTGCTTACTGGAAAAATTATACAAATTGAAAAATGCAACTCCTTGATGCACAATGAAAATATGTTGTTGCAACCCATTCAATAGATATTCATACTTCTCTTATTTTCATAGATCACAGAATAAATGATGAAAATTCTAGTCAATGAAATGAGTGTTTTGGATCATAACAATAAAAATTGATGGTTGATTCAAGGTGAAGTGAAGAATCAAGCCCTGAATAATGCTTTATGTGAAAACTGATAGAACTACTGGAACATAATTTTATACCATGAAATAATTATCCATATTTTATTTTTTAGGTTTTTTGTCACTTCAATCCCACTGTTTTCAGGCCAAAATCAAATACCAACTAGCCAATCAGATGTTATTTTGCCACTCATCTCTTAGTGAAATTTCTGATAATCACCTCAAATACTGGAAGGCAGGTATATTCTTTGCCCAATGTACAGACAAAAATAGAAGTCTTGATCCACTCTCACAAATATAGTGTATATTCAAATAAGGGGGCACAGGTCCTGGAATTATCAGGTTGAACCCAACATTCTGCTCCTGCAGTATTGGGCCATCAAATTCAAAACATTTTTCTTCACTAGAAATTGCATTCAAGTCTGTCCCATTCAAGCACTGGACTCTTGCCATTGTATCCAAAGCTTTTGATATGAGCTGTTTATCTCTTGCTGTACATAATGCATCACTGAGTTCATTGCCTGTGTTTGTACTGTCCATTGAAACATCATCTTCAACACTCACTTGGCTTGGAGACATATTGAAGTTATCAGAAGCTGTGTTGTTAGCTATGAAAGACATAATTATGTGATAGTTTACTGAACATTCAGGACTTGATTATCCTATAACTCACCAAGTCTCTTATTCAGGAACTGAAGACCAAGATCACTGGTACAGAAAGGATTTGTAAATAATCCATAATCTGAATTCAGGTCTTTCCTAATGAATATTTTGTTGACTGCATTGACAGCATTCTGATTGAACTTGATCTCAGGACTGTTTGAGAACTCCTTTTTATCAATTATAGGTTTCCGTTCATGTTGAACAGCTGAAAACACTCATTATTAAAAAAACGAAAAATGGATACTTAGTTCAATGCAGAAAACTTACAATCACTTCTCATCCCACATGCTAAACATTTCTGCAGTCTACAGTATTGACATCTATTTCTATGGTGTTTGGTAACTTCACAGTTTTGACTTCCTCTACATTGATATCCAAGTTGTTTACGAATGGACCTCTTGAAAAATCCTTTGCAACCTTCACAAGATATGGCCCCATAGTGTCTTCCGGAAGCCCTATCACCACAAACGACACACAGTTCCACAGTCAGGCACATATTGTTTGAGTTATTGCGATTTTTATCACCTAGCATTTCTGTTTTTATACTTTGCTCCATATCACTGATCTTTTTAGTTCAGTAGCTGATCCAAAGCCATTTCACCATATTATTTTTAGATTGTTTCATGCTCCATGGCATGTTAGCAGAGAAAAAATGCTGAAACTACAAAAAAAAGGAGCACAACGTCAAATCAACATTATTCTGAGCCCCGACGAAGAATCAACCCCTTGCTTGATTTTCATTTGTACACTCCATTACACTCATAAAAAACAGGCTAGAGTTCATGACCTTTCACTCCATCCAATCAAATTCATCCATTGCACTGTGGTGAGCGGTGATTGCACTATCATTGCCTGGTGATTGCACCTGATCTGATTGTGATTGTACTGCACTTGTCACAGGGAGCACAGAACTAAAGTGTTTTAGTTCTGCTGAGTTCTGTGACAGTGACATAAATGGACATAGATGACAGCGAGGGGATCCGTCGTGCGGAACATGTGCGGAACCAAATAGGATATTCTGTCACAAATTAACAAACCTGACAGTGGTGACAGTACTGAATCTGCTGATTTTCCAATTTTCAAATATTTCGACTCAACATTCTACTGAAATTGTTACTGTCAAGGGGTCAGTGAACTGTCATTATTTTAGAGGACAAAGGAATATCACGATAATTTCCGTTGTTTTTAACATTGAGTCTTGTCTTATCAATAATAAATCAAAAATAACATATTTGATATCAGATAATGTCTGTTATTAGAATAACTGACGCTGAGAATGATATTCAAATTTCAGCTGATCAACGGCTGCTGATTACTGATTGAAACCGAGTTACAGCACGAATGTATTTTTGATTTCATATTTCGGAACACGAATTTTCCGCAGAGCTACTGGATCCAATATTCCGATTTCGAATATTTCAAGCAATGAGCAGCAGTTGATCAGCTGGTGAAATTTGAATATCATTCTCAGCCTCAATAACTGTAATGACAGACATTTTCTGATAATAAATATGGTATAGATATAGATATATTGATAAGACAAGGCTCAACGGAACTAAACGTGACATTCCTTACTTTCAGCGAATTTTTTCAATTTTGGAATGAAAAATCAGCAGATTCAGTACTGTCAGTTGAAGTCGGAATATAGCGTGAACAGAACTCAAGGATTATTAACAGAGAGTTTGAACAGTACTGACGAGTTGAATTCGATATATAGGTTATATTCCGAATTCAACTGTCAGTAGTGGATCTGCGAATTGTTCATTCCGAAATCAATGAAATTCACTGAAAGTGACAGATACTTGTGAGCAGACATACTATTCATTCCAAATATTTCGACTCAACATTCTGCTGAAATTGCTGACGATCAAAGGGTAGTGTGGCTTCAGTAAAACTGTCATTATTTCATAGTGGAAAGGAATGATGTCAGATTGATTTTCGATGTTTCATCAATAATAGATAATCATTATTATTTTTAATCAGAAAATGCCTTTTATTAAAATAATTGACGCTGAGAATAATGTCTAGTTCAGATGAACGAGAAACTATACGTAGATATCCATGCAGAGCCGGTGAGCCAACATTATGGAATTGGGATATGGTACAGAAAGCAAAAAGTCACGTTCGCCGCAGGCACGTATGGTATGGGCAGGTATGGATACAGTTCAATCCTCCCTGCATAGAAAACATGTCCTCCAGATGGTGGAAGTATAATAATATGGTGTGTTACTCAGGTGTCTGAAATTCGTCTGTTCTGTGCATAACGTCATTGCAAGTCTATACTCGCACGAAAATGATCACGGCGACTTGGGCGAATTGATAACTTCGAGCTCCCTCACTGTGAGCAATGGCTTTACTCGCAGTGAACGTATACGAATATGCGTCGTAGCACACCATCATATTATACCCAGCCAGTAGAGTGACGTCAATTCTCGTCGAATCGACGTGGAAAATAGGTGGCAGTTGGTCGTCTACAAGAATCGACCCATAATAATTGACATCATTATGACGTGTCCTAAAAACATATCTGATTGACGCCATTTGACGTGAATTGTGCACCAATCATGTTGTTTATTTATTTCGGAGAAATTACTCCAAAACAACCCATCCAGGAACCTGGACTCTCGCAAATAAATAATGAAGGCAGATACCTACCATTATAAATATAGATGTATATTCATGAAAAACACCATGATCGAGATAACTTGGAAACAGATAAGAAATATTCAAGAATACATTAAATGCATACCAATACGGTTATGGCAGGTGCCTTCATGTTTCATATTAGCGCGCCACCGGAAGACATACGGATGCTTATGGATAAAACCATCTATAGTCGGACACCTCGAGAAAACAGATATTGTAACTTATCTATCGGCTCACCTATCACTAAGCCGAATATAAATTTCAATTTCACACCCTTAAATACTTCGAGTTTTTTTTATTATCACTTGAATCGACCTTACGCGACCAAGACTGCTGATTGGTTTGATCCATCAGTCAAATGATTAATCCTTCCTTTCAACCGATTAATTTCCGAACAAGTATGACAAATTCCGATATCGATAATAGGTATACGGGGTAGAGTGAGAAGACAATTGAGGATATTTTCTTTCATTTTCTTATCTATGAGAGGTGTTTTTGAAATGAGTTCATATTTCCAGAAACGAAATTGAGCGAGAGGTCGATATGCGTTTCTCTCTCTTCCACGATAAAACAGGGGAGATATTCAATTCTCACTAGAGCTGGGCCTTATTTTTGAATTGAGAGAAGTAGACCGCCGAAAGAACAGTGGGCGTGTATCTCACTTAAGTAACAAATTATCTCATTCCCTGCTGCTTCTCTCGATAGATAGCAAGAGAAACAGGTACTATATGTTCCGTCTTCTCTCATAATCCACCGAAAAAAGCAGTGGGAAGCGACATTTAAAACATTTTATAACAAGCATTCCCTCGAGAGAATCCTTCCCTTGATTCAAAAATAAGGCAGGAGATGATTGCTTCATATAGGTCGTGGAATTGTCAATCGTTTACTTTCTTTGGCGCTAAAAATCAAATCTCACCTGCAAAAACGTTCATTCGAACGCATTCGCATGTCACATTTTGACTGACAGAAAGAGACGAAAATAATGGACTGAACGATTTAGCTCATGCTTGGCCTCTTTTCAAATGAGATCAAAGTGGACCTGTGGATCTATACTCTGATTGCGGTCTGAACGAATTGAGGCAAATTGACCATGGTCCGACCTCCCGCTCGACGTTGCCTCAATTCCAGCCTTAGTCAAATCACTGAATAGCAAACAAACTGAACGCGGTATCTCTCATGAAGTGATGATTTTGCGCCTTCCAAGTGCCCACCTGATGTTTGGTTAGATATTTGCTATATTCATTTCATCATATAAATTTGAATATCTGGAAAATTATCCGAGATTTACGAGTCTCAGAAAACGTATTCCAATAATTAGTATCCAAGGTAATGACGTATAGAGTTTCATGTCTGATTGTTGGCTGTTTTGTGTCCAAGTGTTGAGAGAATGGCCTGGTGAGCGATATTTGTTATTTCAATTCGCCATAATCTGAATAATCTGAGTCTTACGAGTCTCAAAAGACGGATTCTAATAATACATATCCAAGGTATCGGCGGGTAGAGTTTCATGCCTGATTGTTGGATCTTTGTGTCCAAAGAGTGGAAAATAATAATGACAGAGCGTTAACGTAAGGTCTCTGTTCGCTGTGCCTACAACTACTAATATTGGACACCAGAGTAGATTGTGTAGCACTGATAACGTTCGATATTGTGTTCGTTGCCAAAGTGTTGTAACACAATAATTTGATATAATTAACCGCCAAAACAGAATGTTACACTGTGTTAGAAGTGTAGTGCAGATAGTTGTTAGGTTTGTAGTTTGTTTTTAGAGCATAAAGATGAGATCTCCGTTTCGTATATCATTTGATCATTTTGATCAACGTTCCTGATCCTTTCATCGATTATACCACTACTGATATAACAGATTTCATTGATTGATCATCGTCAGGAGAACTTGTAATTGATTCACCATCTAAATTCAAGGAACTGTAAATGATTTTATCATCACTGTCAAAAATCCTACTACACTTGACTACATCACAAGCAACGAACAGGATATCAATTCAGCACACTCCTCTCCCCTACACTCGTCCAAGCCGAAAAGTGTAGTGTAGAAATATGAATTCCATGCAGAAACAGCGAACAGACCTAAAGTGAAATAGAATGCGTAGAACTCGCAGAACAGAAAACAAGAGAGGTGGCCTGCGGCTGCGGATTCTGTATCACGTTCGTCGATTGTCGTACGATACGATGATGAACTCGAAATCAAATTAATTTCCTATTCTATATCTCGATCGAATCGCGATCGAATAGACTTCGGAAATTGTCGGATTTTTGGCGAAATAGGATGAAGGATGAGATTTTGATACGATATGAAACGACCACCAAGGTCAAAACCAGGACAACTTTGAGGCTATAGTAGTTATATTGTTTTTACGAATTTCAATTATTTCAATCTCAAGACAAAAAAGATAGGCTAATAAATTTGGTTCCAAATCACTGACGACATGAAATATATAAATCAAATAGAGTGAAACTCAAAGTCACTACCACAATAGTTCATGAAATGAATGAAAATGGTAGATAACGAGAAAAAAACAACTACTTTGCTGGTTATATGCCACGCAGAACCATGAATTACATGTTTCCAAAATCTATGCAATAATTCGCATAGACGAATAAAATCACAAGTGTTTCCTTCCTAAACGCCGAGCTGCGCCTAAGTGATTCAGGAACGCGTGACTACCTGCAGACTACGTTGGGTCAGGTTCACAGCAGATAGCTATCTGGGACAGCCCTGTACTGATGGAAGCCAACAGCTCGAAAACGGTCTCAAAGCAGGACCAAAACTTCTGTCTCTATAGGTAACGAAATCGGCAAATAGCTAGGCGTTGATGCCGACGCAGGGAAAAAATAATACGAAACTTGTCAAACCAATATGGCTGTTTCCATCCTTCATTTTTTGTCCTTATAGATTCAAAAAGTACCTCTCATTTTGGTCCCATTTTTGTTGAGATATCGTATAGGCGATGCGCTATATAAAGAAATAGTAGATAATATGAATTCAATGTTCTGCGTGGCATATAGCCAGGAAAGTAACTGTTTTTCTCTCGTTATTTACCATTTTCGTTCATTTTATGAACTATTGTGGTAATGACTTTGAGTTTCTCTCTATTTGTGACCATTGCATTTCACTTTGAGTATTTAGTTTTTTCCTAGTTATTCATTGAGATATTCTGATTGAACAGAAGGTTGGTTCGTCATGTGATGCAATCATTGGGACCCCACTCAGTGGATAGGTCAAGTTTGATCTGAATAACTACAGAATCTGTAATATTCTCATACCAGAGATGCTACCCCAATGAATTTATTTCTTGTCTGGCTTAGCCTGACCCACAGTTTTTTATTGATTTCACGACCATTAGACTCTGAAAATCGTCCTGTGGGCATCTCTGAGTCTGAACGACATCGAACATGAATTGTCGGGCGTGTTTTTCATTTCATTGAGGAAAGTGCGCACTGATAGATGCGCTTTTTGTCGTGACGTCACCAATTGTTCTAATGAAATTCATGCTGGAACGTTGGAACAACACTTTGATGGAAAATCAGATTTTGTTATTTGTCAGTCTGTCATGTATCTTCAGAATCAGGAGAGGCTGATACGATTTTATATAGATTTTATTGATTAAAAATAAATACATTTTCAATCAAATCGAAACAACGAACAATACTTGATATGTGTCAATTGTCATGTCATTCACCTCCAAACCGCTGGATTCTCGAAAAGGGATTCGAAAGTGCGCATTTAATAATAACAGTTTGATGGATTCCCATCAACATTTCATCAGAATTTTGTAACAGAATGTATGTCAGTGGATTAGACTCATATGATGTCCGTGAAGGATTTCAACCCGGACAAAAAAGTTAGATTGTTCAGAAAAAGTAGTTTCCTTTGTTATCTCTAGTAATTTTCCCAAGGATAATTTTTCGGACAGTTCATTTAGGTATGATTAGATTGTTTAGGAAGAGAATGATGGAAGTAAAATATGGTGCGCGTATTCGGCCATTATTACGTATTGAAAATTTCAGGAAAATCACCCGACCGGCCTACTATGATTTCTCTACGTCACAACGAGCGAGACGTTGATTCTACATTTTCCCGCTAGATGGTGATGCTGCTATTGCTGCTGTGACGAGTGGAAATAAAATGGCAAATGTCATTTTAGGTACGCGGAACCTATGTAACAGTGGGATTAAACAACTCTGAATTCGAAAAATCTGCGACAATTTCAAAATTGACAGAAGTCATAATTGTGCAATGTCGCCATCTATTAGAAGATCAACGGAACCATTGCTCTCGCTGCTCTCGAGAGGTCGCGTGAAATTTCTGAAACAAAAGCGCATCAGAAATTACACCATAATTATCTTACTTCCATCATTAGGAAGAGTAAGAACGATATTATTATATTACGAAATTATATTGAAAGCTAGAATATTGGATGACGGGGCGAGAACTGTCTGCAGACATTCGTTAGTTTCGTGATGTTATTCTGTGACTGACAGATTGACTGACGACTGCAACATTTGTGTTCTGTTGTTCTGTAGTGAAATTTTTCCACAGAAGTGTTTTTTCTGTTTTTGCTGATTTGTTATATCGTGGTTGAACTTAAAATAAATAATCATAATCACACCACCATGAGTAGGTTATTTAGTAGCGTCATGTAAAAAGATTGTACATTGCTTTAAAAAGTTTGTTTTGTTTGTAAATTCATTGTTTTATTATAAGATGGCCAATCGAAAACGAGGAACATATTTTCTACCACAGGAATTGCAGACAAATGAAAGATTGTCAACAAAGAAGGTAAAGAATGCTGTGGAAACTACTGTGAAGAAAACAGTTATTTGATTGTGATTTTCACATTGCTTGCTAATATCAATTAACGAACTAATTTCTTTTAGGAACTAGCACAACGAAAGAGTATACCCCTATGTCCTCCTGTCCCCTATAAGATGAGAAAAAGTGTACTAGCTAATCATGGCGTTTTTGATAAACCAAAGCCTTTATGTTTTACTAACTCTGGTGAGTACATGAGGACATGATAGTGGATTACTTTAAATTCACAAGATCTACCTCTCATTTTTTCAATAAAACTGTACTTGTAGATGTATGTATCAACCCTGAGGAATGAATCATCAGTCTTATAATATAATTCATATATGTATATACATACATACATATACCGGGTGATTCAAAATTCAATGTGAATATTTTAAGGACATAAAATTGGGATCAAAATATGACTTTTTCTTTATATAAACATGTGTTCTAAAATGCAGCCTCTCCAAGCTACTGTGACTGTAAGTTGGGTATAAAAAAGATCATCTGAAATTGTGATCATAACAATGGATCAAATTGCTTTGAAAATTGGCATATCCCTGTTTTTAAGGCACACTTATTCTTTTTTGATTCCAAAATTATGTTGACCCAGTTTTGAAGGAGTTGAAGGGAGTCCACCCTCAGAAGGGGTGCATTTTACGACACATCTTTATACAAAGAAGAAGTAGTATTTCAATTCAAACAATTTGTCCTTGAAATATTTACACAGAATTTTGAATCACCTTGTGTAGTATTGGTTTCTATGAATGTTGAGATGAATGTCTATCACTAAAATTTTTATTATTTCAACTCATATGAAGTTTTCAAATACAATAGGTACCTCCAATAGTGAATTCAGATATTATTGCTGTAATCAAATGACTTGAAACCTATACTAACCTATGAATATATAATTATTGACTCAATATTTTGTCAAGGCCCAGAACTTGACAATATCTTTCATTCTTTTAGTCAAATCCTATACTGTAGAATTCAGAATGGCATGGTATAGTAGGTCAATCAAATAATGATTGACAAGTAACTGGAATCATAATTTTGAAACTATTGTTTTGGTATTGGTCATTTTCAGCTCATGAAATTCATTGAAAATTTGAGGTGTATGATGATGATTGATGAAAACATTGGTGAACAAAATTGAAGATATATGAGCTTGGCTTAGGCCTGATTTTTGTACCCTTCACTATAAGAATCAAGTTTATGCTTCCAAAATTTGGAACACCTTGTATACTGAGTGACAATGAGATTAGTGTCAAGTGTATTGCTAGTTTATTCATGAAATGATTTGGAAACAATCCATAAAGATGATGTATTTTCCTATACACCTTTCAAAATCCCTGTAGATTCCATGCAAAATGAATTCTTTTATGAAATACTCCTGCAAAGTTTTTGGTGAATTGAATGAACTGTTTTCAGGCAGAGATGTAATGCATACTAGTAACCTTTTGCCTTTCAACTTCTATTTATAGTATTCAAATTGGTGTTATTTCCTTTGTTCTAATTTCTATAGGAGATGCTTATCTTGATTAATCTGCTTGCTTCCTCCTTCTTTTATTGTTATTTTAAGTGGTAGTTTAGAAACAAAATAAATTCTATTGGTCTCCATTATTCTCTATAAGGTTCATGAATGAATAAATAAATAAAATGTATTGTATACAAGAAAATTAGAATACACAAAATAGTGAATAATTATGTAGGTACATATTGATCAAAAGGAAACAGTAGTAAAGTGTATGAAACCTCTATTCAACTAGAGAAGAACCATATTGGATTGTTACATTTTTTCTTCTGCTTTCTTATCTTATCTAGCTGTATGCAGAAAGTACTCATAAGCTAGGAAACCCCAATGAGAAATTCAAGTAGTATGAAATAATGTTATACTAAGGCTTTCTTCCCTCAGAATCAAGGGACAACATGAATGTAATGGATGTTTTGCCTCATGTGTTTTTTGACAAAAAAAATCATAGCAGGATAATTTTCCCCAATGAAAATTACATTTCCGATTTTTTTCGATTTTTGGGGTGAAAATGGGGTAAAATGAACAGGTGACATAATAACTCTATTTCTTCTACTGCTGCTGGGCGTCCTTATTGACGAAGCCACCTGTGGCCAGATATTTTATTTTTACTAAACAAATTATTTCAAATAAAAATGAATATTTTATGATTTTAGTGGAATTTATATTTTCTTCTTGTGATTCTCCTATCAATTGATAACTTTAGCATCAGAATAATGTTATTGTTTTTATGGTTTTCAATAAATAAATGATCGTTTTCTTATAATATGTACTCTATACTAGTATACTACACCAATTTCATATCAAAAAGGTACGCGTCGAGTTTTACCAAGAGAACATTCCTGGTGTAAAATTGAATGTTTTCAAGTTCACATGCCATTCGGGTCAGAAATTCTAACCTCAAAAAAGTTTGTTTGATATTACTCGATAAGAACCCTTTAACTTTCAACATAATCCTAAAAAAATGTTTAAGTAACAGTTTTTTTTTGAACATCTTATATTTTGAATACGGACGCCGTTAGGAAAATTTTTTACGGAGCAAACCCAATGGGGCCACCTATTTTGAAACACCCTGTATACAGGGTTTTTCCAAACTACGGTACGAAATTCCAGAGAGTAATTCATCATTTGGTAGATTTAAGAAAAACAATTCCTATGAACATGACCAGAGTTGTATGGTTTGTGAGATACAGGGCGTTACAGCTTTTAAAGCAGTAAAACAGAGTTTGGGACGAATGGGCAAGATACTTTTTGTTTTCCATGTTTATGATATGCAATGCAATAGAGTGGCTTCATTTGTTTTCTCGTAAACGAAACAAATAATTATGAAGAAAACATGACAGACAAAAAAGTTTGATTTTTAATTGATCATTCTGAAAAAATAAAAAATTGCAAAAAAGTCAGCGGAGTAATTTTTTGACAATATCATTGGATGTGGTGCCCACTGACACGCCACTGGAGGGTTTACTGATTGCTTCATTTCTGCAAACAATTTTACCAAATTTCAACCCAATGGGTTTGAGGATATTTTCGATATTCCATAAATACCGTTTTTCTTCCTACTTCAACGCCCTGTATCCTGTATCTCAACTACGTTCATTGGAAATTTTTCACTTGCTTATAATTAGCTTGGTATATGTATGTATGTTGTTTGTATGTCAACCCACGTCAAAACGCCCGTACATAACGTACATAATTCTGGCGACAATGCATCAGTGAAGAGAATGCATCATGACATTTTTGTTAGACAAAAATACAAAATGGCGGCTGCAAAATGGCGGAGGAGTTTTGTAATTACGATACGATTATATTCAAAATCGGTATCTGGGAGTTTTTGAGGCCAGAGATATGATTGCGTTAAAATTAAAAAATTGAAGATGGCAGATCCAATATGGCGGACGGGTTTCGCAATTACGATATGAGTTTTGTAATTATGATCCGATTCCATTCAAAATTGGTATCTGGGGGTTTTTGGGGTCAGAGATTATGATTATTGCGTCAAAATTGAGAAATTCAAGATGGCGGACCCAATATAGCATACGAGTTTTGTAATTATTATGATCCGATTCTATTCAAAATAGGTTTCGGGGTCGGATATTATGATTCTTTCGTCAAAATTGGGTACTTAGATTAGATTAGATTCAGAATGGGGCTTTCGGGCTATTATGCCTCCACACATTGACCTTTTCAGATCTATTGTGTCTGCCCTCAAAATCGATTAGAGTTCTTCGGCGAGCACCGCCTTCTCTATGAGACTCCATAGGCTAGCTTTCAGATCCCCTGTGTATCTTTGGGCTTCTGGTTTTTCCTCACCCAGAGTAAGGAACCTTAGTCTTGACAAGCCCTCACAGTGGCAAAGTATGTGTACTGCTGTTTCCTCCTCTTCCTGACAGAACCTGCAGAACAGTTCTTCAGTCAGACCTATCGTACTCATGTGTTTTTTGAGCCTACAATGCCCTGTGAGAAGTCCCACTAGTATTCTAGTTGAACTTCGTTTCTGGCTCAGTAGATATTCTGTGAATGTTGGGGATGGTTTTTTAATCAACTCTTTTGCCTGTCTCATTCCTGGCGAGTTGTTCCACCATTCTTGAGATTTGGTTTGCATCCATGATTTGATACTAGTCTTTTGTATATATTATGTACGGCGGGTGAAGGATTATATAAACACCCGTCTGTATTTTAATAATTCGGTATATTATAATATTATGTTAGGCACCTTATTACATTCCCGTTAAGAACAAGACTAACTAGCTATAAATGTATATCTATATGAATAGGTTTTTTACTACATTAAAAACGTACTTCTTTTTGTTGTGACAAATAGCAAAAAGAACTGGAATGAAATACAGGGCGTATTCAATACATTACATCATCTTCCCCTCGAAACAAAAAAAAAAAACAATAATACTTGAAAAGTTCAAGCAAATCTATCGGGTTGTTTTATTGTTTCTCGCGGCCTCAGTTTTTTTATATAGCCCTCTGCAGTAGGTGAACTTGACATTTCCTTAGCTTCTGTCAAATTATCTGACAAAGTTGGTTCTTTAATATCGCCCTGTTTTGACTGTGAGTTTATTATATTATCATCGCCATTTGTCAGAGAATTCTCGGAAGTTTCTTGATGCGTAACCGGAACATAGCTACTACCACCAGAATAGACCTCTGCCTTGGTACGCCTGTTACTATTGTCCGGCAAAATTTGATCAATATGTTTTTTATATAATAATTCAGTCTGCTTATTTTGAACTAAATAATTTCTGTTACCTTCAATTTTCACGATAGTAGCAGGTTCCCAAGTAGGTTTTTTTCCTATAGAGAATGCCTTCATCAGCACATCATCTCCTACTTCAAAATTTACTTGTCGATGTCCCTTAAAATGTTGAATTTGTTTTTTCTGGTTTTCATTTACGATATCATGACTCAATGGTGAAAGTAAATCTAATCGGGATCTCAATTTTTTTCCAAATAACAATTTTGAAGGACATTCACCAGTAGTGAGATGCTCTGTATTCCTATACGTAAATAAAAATCTATTTATTATCAAATTCAAATCCAATTCTGGTTTTTCTGTTTTTGCACTAATAATTGCTCGTTTCATGGTTTTGACTGCATTTTCTGCAGCACCATTACTTTGTGGGTGATAAGCTGCCGTGGTTACATGCTTTATTCCATT